TTTAGCTGATCCCATTTTCAATATCAGCTCTCAAATCGATATGCTGATAGGGGAAGACATCTTTTGGAACATACTGTGTGCTGGTCAAATTAAACTCACTGACAGTGCTCCTATACTACAAAAAACCCTTTTCGGATGGATTATTTCTGGCCCAATATACTTGCACAAAATTCAACATACTGGTATTTGTAACCTTGTTACAGATTCAAACTATAACTCTTTAAACTCGCTAGATAAAAATTTTGGGATATAAACGAACTTCCCATTAAAAAACACTATTCATCTAGTGAACTCTATGCTGAAGAACATTTCGCAAAAAATATTACTCAAGATGCTTCCGGTTGTTTTATTGTAAAAATTCCTTTGAAGGAACAGACCACCAAACTTGGTGATTACCGATCACCAGCTGAAAAAAGATTATACTCTTTAGAAAATAAATTTATATCGCTAGGCCATATGTCGTTAATACCCGAGACCAAATCCGGTTTTTTCCTTCCTCATCACAGTGTCTTTAAACACGATAGTACAACCACAAAATTACATGTGGTCTTTGACGGATCCGCCAAGATCGCCTCTGGTTACTCGGTAAATGACCTAATGCATGTTGGACCCACAATCCAAGATGATCTCTTTTCAATTCTAATCCTCTTTAGAAAGCATAATTTTGTATTAACTGGAGATATTGCAAAAATGTATCGCCTGGTGTTGGTGACCCCTGAGCAACGTATTCTCTGGAGGGATGATCCCTCAAAACCTCTATCTGTATTTGAGTTAAATACAGTCACTTATGGCACGGCCTCATCAGCATTCCTCTCAATAAGATGTTTACAAGAGATTGCTCATAAAATATCTGATAAAAATTCTCTTTCTAAAGGATTTTTATGTAGTTGACCTTTTAACCGGGGGATCGACTGTTGAAGAAATCAATTACATAAAGTCTACTCTCACTGAAATTCTTTCTTCATATGGGTTTCCTTTGAGAAAATTTGTATCTAATTCTACACGTTTTGCAAACAATGAACATTCCTCAGAACTTCCAATAAATATTGAGCATGAGGAACCTGTCAAAACTCTCGGCCTTTTATGGCACCCTAATAAAGATATATTAAGCTATACAACAAATTCTTCTGCTTGCAAATATAACTAAAAGATCTATCTTTAGCATAGTGTCGACCATTTTTGATCCACTTGGATTATTACTTCCATTCATCGTAATTGCAAAATTAATAATTCAGAGACTTTGGCAACTACATATTACGTGGGGCGAATCTATCCCACTTCAACTTCATTCTCTTTGGTCTCATTTCAAATCACAAGTACCTCATCTAGCTGACTTATCTATTCTAAGGCATGTCATCTCTCCGTCTTTCAAAACTATAGAATTACATGGTTTTGCGGATGCATCTGAGCATGCATATGGTGCTGCCAATATATGTAAAGTCAATAAACCAAACAGGTGACATTAATTGCCACCTTCTTTGTGCCAAAAATCAAGTATCTCCTTTAAAAACTATTACTGTTTCTAGATTACAGCTAAGTGCGGCCTTACTATTAACAGAACTCATGGACAAAGTTAAGTCATCAAATGTATTCGTAAATAATATATACTATTTCTCAGGATTCTACAATCACTATATCTTGGATAAAGGCTTCTCCACATCTCTGGAAGGTCTTTGTAGCTAACAGAGTGGCTCAAATTCAATTATTGTATAAACCGGAGCAGTGGTATCATATTCCTGGTGAAGAAAACCCTGCAGATTTATTAACACGAGGTATTTCAGTTACGGAACTATCAAACTCTAAGCTTTGGTGCATGGTCTAACTAGTTTATCCCTTTTATGGCCTAAATCAAATGAAGTTTCACTCTCTCGCAACTGATTTACCAGAACTTAAATCAAAGGCAGTTTCACTGCCAGTCGTTCTCTCTGAAGATTTTTATAAATTTCCAGCATTAACAAACAATCAAACATTAATAAACTCATTAGAATATTCGCATATGTTATACGATTTACAAAAAATGTCAAATCAAAAAATTCAAAGTCAATGAATGTTTTAGTTAAACAAGTCCAATCAGATTACTTCTGCACAGAAATTAGTGCTATTTGAAAAAATCAACCAATACCCTCAAACAGTAAAATTTTAAAACTATCTCTCCATTTTTAGATACAACTGGAATTCTCCGTGTAGGAGGCAGACTTAAACGTTCAAATTATGACTACTCTAAAAAACATCCTGCAATTTTACCAAAGGGTCACAAACTAACAACTTTAATAATTTCCTCTGAACACAATAGGGTAATGCATGCTGGTCCTCAACAAACCTTGTTTTCTGTCAGAGAACGCCTTTAAATGGCAGAAATTTAGTCAAAAAGCTCATACGTCAATGCGTCATATATTTTAGGCTTAATGCAAAACCAATTCAACCCTTGATGGGCGAACTCCCTCCAGAGAGGGCCAGACCGTTCTTTTTTACTGGAGTGGATTTTGCTGGTCCTTTTAACCTTAAAGACAGAGTCACTCGGAATTACAAACTTGTTAAGGCATATATATGTTTATTTATATGCCTATCCACTAAGGCACTGCATTTAGAGTTAGTCGATGACTTAACGAAAGTTACATTCCTTGCTGCACTCAAGCGTTCTTCTGCAAGACGTGGAAAACCGTCAATAATGTATTCCGATAATGGTACCAATTTCGTCGGCGCCAATAATCAACTAAAATTATTTTTTAAATAAGAAACTACTTATATTAATCAATACTTATCTAGTGAAGGAATTTCCCACACTATGGTGGAATATGGGAAAGTGGTGTTAAATCCGTCGAACATCACCTTCGTAGGGTAATCCGTGAAACTAACTTAAACTTTGAAGAATTAATTACAATATTGACTCAAATTGAATCCATCCTGAACACTAGATCCTTATACCCCATGTCTGATGACCCTATATGATCCTTCTCCGCTCGTACCCACACACTTCCTCATTGGAGACGCTCCAACTGCTATTCCAGAACCAAGTTACCTCCAATTGCCTGATAACTGACTTCCCAAGTTTGAACAAATTCACAAAATGGTTCAAATGTTTTGGAAACGCTGCTGGTCCAATTGCAATCTCGTTATAAATGGAACAATCCCAATCACGAGTCATTAAAACCAGAACTAGTAGTACTCATCAAAGACGATGATCTCCCACCTTTGAAATGGCTATTTGGACGAGTCTCAGAAGTTTTCCCTGGTCAAGACGGAGTGGCAAGAACTGCTACAATAAAAACCAAAAATGGTACCTATCAACGACCTGCTACAAAGTTATGCATACTACCTAATAAGTCGAGTCAATTTAAAGTCCTACGAGCTTTAAAGGAGGGCGATATATTTAATCACAAATACCTATCTTCACGCCGACAAATATTGGCGGCTTGATGTGCGCGTTCAACAGAACTCTCCATTCTCTCATCCACACCGAAGAGATTCACAACAATTTTTCACGTTCACAACTAAGATTATTAACAAAAACAAAAACTTTCAAAGTGTTAATGTAGTGTTTATTTAATAACCAATCTATTTCAAATTGGATGGAGCTATTCTGTCGGCCCGGACCACGTAAAAACGTATATGTCAAATTCAATGGTGATTTTGTTAAAAGTTAAGTGGAACCAAAATTTCATCACACTAATACGGCGTATTGGGTTAAGCAATGATATGGAGGAAGTCTTGAAATATGTCCAATTTTTTTATCGAAAATCGTTATTTTTATCGAATGGTCTGGAGGTATTGTCTACAACTAACATGTTTTCTTTCTTCATAGGAGAGTTTAGGCATCAAAACAGTTTCAAACCATTTCTTTACTAGTTTCACTCCGCAGTTGTCCTCTAATAAATCAATTTTCTCATCACTATCTTTAATTTGAATCTTTTTACTTGGACATTTTGCTTCTTGGCTGATTAGTGGATACGTGTAATGTCATCCTTAACAATCGGATTATTATTAATTATATATTTATCACTTTAACAAATTTACATTTGTCTGATTTATTTTCATTATATTTTACATTTTGGTTTTCAAGATCCTTTATTATTATTCGTTAGGATATGAAACAATGCTCATATCCTACACTTGAATTATTCTTATTGTGATGTTTGTTTATTTTAAACAACAGTTTATTAATAATTTATTTAAACACTTATTTATTTTAAACAATACTATTCTAATTTATATATATTTCGAATGTCTTTGAACTGTTCACTATTTATATTCACCACTGTCTATTTACAACTGATTCCTGCGTTGTTCCTCCACCAATATTTATATACAAATTTAAAACTTTGGCGAAGGTACTATAATTTTCACCAATTCTCACCAATACTAGAAACATTATCACGTTGACACTGGAAAGATCTTGAAAGCGCCTCCGCCATAGTCGTCACATATGTTTGGTCTTAAGAGGTTTAATTATGTATGATAATCGGACAAGTTGAGCCTCAAAGGCCAAATTAGACAGAGAGGGACTTGGAAGATTAGATCATGACTGAATAATGAAATGGCTCACATTACACTATAATAGTTTTTACGACATTTTTTGTGGATCACTTCTTACCTTGGCCACACTGACATTAAACTATATGTTTAACTTCAAAGAAACCTTGGTTATATTTTTTGCAGAATCTTTCGAAGCTAGCCTTACATATTGTCTATATGTCGATACTTCAATAAGCCCTTTTGTTGCACGTTGCTTTATGTATTGCTTAATATATTGCTTAGGGTCGATTTTTTCACCTCTGAGTAAAGTTACATGTAGGTTTACTTGACAGATTAACAAATAATATCCCTATAGTTTAATCAGCAAGTAGTTACTTTCAACTTTACTCAGAGGTGAAAAGACTGGCCCTTAATGAATTGTTTTTATCCTAGAGGCATGTTATACATATAGTTATTGCATATTAGCACGATTCCTATTAATGGCTTATTAACATTTAAATTGAAATTTACTTATACAGTTATTGCAGCAATTGTCCATAAGGAAATTCTCGCCGATGGGCCGATATATATTTTTGGCGAAATTTTTAACTGAGGCCAAAGCTTTTTATAAGGTCTACGACATATTACAATCTTCAGGTAAGTTACTATGTTATTGTTGTTATCCGCCTATCAAATTTTCAAATGGGAAATTCTCATTTTTTTCTATATATTTCAGGAATTGGTAGAAATTTACATGTACTTAAATTTTTTAGTGTTTTAATTTTAATATTTTACATTTCTACTTTGATTTGTGGCAACGTTGCATAGTAATTAATGACAGTCTTGCAACGATCCTAGAATGGCATCATTCCTATGTGCCAGGCTAATCTGCCCTATTAGGATTGTGACTATTAAATAAATAAACATTGAATAACCATTATTACGGATCTAATTTATAAATCCTTTTGTTTTTAAAATCATTGTGCTATAATTATTTATACACACGAATATATAAAAACATTTATTGTAATATAAACTAGAGCAGGGTATTAGAAAAATCAAGTGTCCTAGAAAAATGTAAAATAAAGCTTAAGACGAAATATTAAATTTTAACTATTCTTAAATCTCACTCCTTATCTTGCTCAGTTTCTCTTAACTAAAAGAAAAGGATATATCCGATTTTACGAGTGTATAGAAGTAAACGGGAAGTAAAATTACTTGGAGTGAGCATCCTCTACAATTTAAATAAGGAAAATGCCAAAGATGACACGTCATTGAGAATGTAATTTGATTGAGAATTAGACAAGAAGTCTATTCATTGCGTTGCTTTTGATTTTAGCGCCGTCTAGCGGGAAAAATAACTTATGTATTGTAAAGTGTGATATCTACTCCATTTCAAAACTAATTTTATTACTAATGCAATGCACAACATTAATCTAAATATATCCATATTTCAATTGCAACAAAATAAAGTTAACCATAATGCAAACAATATTATCAATTTACAGACTGTTGCAAGTGTAATATTGAATATTATATTACTGATATGTGTTGCATTGAATTAGTAATAAAATTAGCTTTCAAATAAAGTATCACACTTTACAAAACGTAACAGTTTTTTATCAAGCTAGACTGCGCTAAAATCAAAATTAACGAATTCCGTATTAAATTACCTTTTCAATGATTGCCGTCCCTATAAATTGTTCAACCCACTTTTCGAGGGTTGAAGTGCCAATGCTGCAATTAGAAAACAAAAGTGTTTCCCTCCAAAATAAAATCGACCTGAACCAGTGTTTTTTGCATCAATATGAAAAAAACTAAGTAGAAAGTTTTCGGTGGCCCACCCTGTAAACAAGAGTACATATTTATGACACATTCAAATTTGCAAATCGTAACCTAAAATTAGTAATAGAAACCAAAAACTTTGTATTTTACGAAATTTCTAATGAATAAAGAACTTTAGTTTTGTACTATGGAGTGATAAAGAAACTGTTTCTAAAGAAGGGCATGGAGTAACATTTAAAGCCGGTTACAATGATTTGTTCAGCAATTTAGCTGATGTACAGAAATTGGAATAGGTGGTTGTTGGAAAAAAAATTATTTTATTTATTTTTAAATGAAACAAAAAAAAAACGCTGATTACTGTGTTGATACTAAGTGTATAAATGTTGAAAAAGCGCTTTTTTTACTACAAAGTCGCTGTATAATAACAGCTACTAAGTTATTCAAAAGCTGCATACTTTAAACAACTATAGGCTGATTATCTTCTCCTTTTTCAGCTATTTAAACTAAAAGTGGCTTATACTGGCAATGAGACTTCTGTTATTCAACCTATTGGCTGAACATATAGCTGGTGCCATAATACTTAACCTACTTAAATTGTTTGTTGGGAAATTACCCATGTCAGAGCACACCATTCTTCCTTTTGGAACTCATAGTTTTGAATTCCTAGTTTGTAATTCATATGTTGTTATGTTAGGAATGGAGCGTTAATATAACTGCGACCTACAATATTTATTGTACCACCTTCTGTCGCTGCATTAGCAGCAAGGAAATGTCTGGATTCCTATAACGACCCTTCCAATCCTATCTTCTGAAGGAAGTGTAGGATTTGGAGTGGCTTCAAGTTAGGTAAATCTCCCTCTTTGATATGCTCCTAGGTATAGTGCCCTTGGATTCTGGAGTGCTACACATTCAGTCAGAATGGAGGTTTCGTTCTCCTCCTCATAGAATCTGAAATTCATAATTTGCAGTTCCTATTTTGTAATTCATAATTTGGAATTCACAGTTTGGAATTCATAGTTATTGGAGTTCATAGTTTGGAGTTCATAGTTTTGACTTCATTTAAACAAAAAAGTCAATGACAGAATGGTTTGTTTTTCTTTACCACACAAATGGTGTCGCAGTAATATACTTGAATGGAACGGATTATATTCTAAGAAATTATCTTACAACTTTGCCACATATCAAAGCAGCAACAAAACAATTTATGTATAATCTTTTATGCTTAAAACATTTAATGCTAGACTTTTTTCTGAATTTTTAACTACCTAGTTATTATTTTTAAGGTTGTTTCTTTTATATATTTTCGATATTTTTCATTGAGTATAATATTGATATAAAATCGTGTCCTAAGCACACCTTCTTATCAGGATCTCAATTAGGCTGGGTTATATTTTACACTAAAGAATCTAAAAATATCAAAGTGACAATTAACAATTTTTTAAACAGAATTTAAGGTTATTTCTTCTTTTTTCCTTATGGATTGCCCGGATGCAAATATTCAGAAAACGAAATAAAATTGACTACATCAATGGACCTTTTCAACTATGACGATCCCGGATATTATATTATATCCAGTTTCAGATATAATGTTTGTCTCTAATTTACCTTTTCCACTGATGTCACTTATTCTATTTATTATTTTATTGACAAAAGTAACCTTGGAAAACATTTATGTTTAAATAATTATAGAAATAAATAACGATTTTGATTTTTTTTTCGACCAAACCTTTTGGTCCTGCCCATAACAAAACAAATTTGATTATAAACATTTTCTTACAAATTTTTTGCTGAGCTACATTTTACAATTTCCAAAAGATACAGAACAATCTTGTAGTACCCAGTCTTTGATTCCGATCAGGGGCGTACCCACAATTCGATTCCATATCAATATTTTCGTTTTATTAAAGATTCTTATACGGTGTAGAAACCACTTATGAAATAAAATTATTTTTGGCGATATTTTAGAGAATTGTTAAAAACTAACTTTTAAACTAAATTGTACAATCTGCGAACGAAAATATAAATATACAGGGCGATTCACGTAATTCTAGCACTCTCGGTACTATTTTTTTGCAATCACCCTGTATCATTTTATATTTGTGAAAGCTCTTTAATAAGATGACTTTAACGAACTATAATATTTATGGTCTATATGAATAATACAGAGAGAAATTTTGAAATTATTTATCATTTCCTTTATGAAAATAAATACATAAAATACTTGATTTATTTGATTAAAGTAAATGTTCAGAATGTTCTCCGCCTAATTCTTGACAATAACCCAATCTGTTATAAAACTCCTGCCTAACATTATTTAAAGTTTGAGATGAAATATTCCTTATTTCTGTTGTTATTCTTTCTCAGAGATCGATAATGCTAGTTGGCTGTGTTGCATATACTTTATACTTGAGATAATCCCACAGAAAAAAAACTACAATGTAAGATCTGTTGATCTAGCTGGCCACTTAATAGTACCTCTTCGTCCAATTCATTTATTGGAAAATATTTCGTTTAGGTAAGCTCTTACATGTGCACCATAATGGGGTGTTGCTTCATCCTGTTGAAACCAAATATTTTCATTCTGAAGTCTCCGATATCTTGCATTTGGATATAAGTTAGCCAAAAAAGGAACAACGTCGTCTTTAATTGAATCGGTGAGTGAAAGAACAGTACAAGTGCCAAAAACGGAAATTTTAACTGAGATAGGCAAATTGTTTAAAATTAATAGGCCTATCACATAGCAAAAGAATAATACACAGACCAACATTATACGAGCGATGGGGGCTTGTTCAATTTTCGGTTGAGTGAAAGAACAGTACAAGTACGGCGCATGTACTGTTTTTTCACTCAGTAGCCATGTCGTTTCGTAGACAAATTTAACACAGATTTCCAAAACTGGTGGTCGCAATTTCATAAAAAAACTCTAAATCAGCTGATGAACAAAAAGTTAATTTTGTCATTTCACAGTACAGCCAGTTTACATACACTGGTAAAACTTCTGGATATGTTACTACAAATGCCTTCATAGGCGGTTTTCTCTCGCACACTTTTATGTGTGGGGTGCATTAGACTGATATCAAACCTAATGCCAATCTGCAGTTACCCTTATGGCGGGCATACATGCTACGGTCTGCCTGTGCAGGTGTTCCTGCACAGGTAGACATGCACGCTACGACATGAAGCCGACCTGCGCAGGCATACCTGCACAGGTAGGCCTCTCCGGTAGACCGTTACGTGTATGCTCGCCATTAGAAAAGGCATACTCAGAAGTTGTCCCTATTAACGTTAAGAAGATAGCCAATATAAAGATACTTTTAGTCTACTTAAGTGATAAAATCCTAGAGTTTTACTACCATATATTATTTCTTGGAAAGTCAAAAATGAAGATTCTGATTAAAAAATTACAAATAAGTTTGTTAAATAATAATCAATAAAGCTACAAAAAAAATTAAAGCATTTTTTTTAAATTGAGTGAAAGAACAGTATAACTGCAAGTTATTTTTTTCAAATATCATATTTTGCATAATTTTATTTTTAAATTTTTGTACGTATTATTATCGATTTACAAAAATTCTATAACTTCACAATACATAATTAGGCCGAATAACCCATAGTTCTCCTTTAAAACAGTTTTTTTTGTTTTTCTCAAAATGATCATTTTGGATATGTATTGTTCTTTCACTCACCGATTCAATTATATTTAAATATCTTTCGGCTGTCAAATTTCCTTTTATGTCTCACGCATCCAATGAGAATTCTCTGCTGACCAATATCTACAGTTTTGTCGGTTTACCTCGCCGTTTAATGTGAAAGTTGACTCATCTGAAAAAAGAATGGTAATCAAGATCTATCTTATTTCTGTCCAGGTTATTCATCAACATTCTACGATCAGAATCATCTTCTGTTGGTTCCTGAGTAAAATTTATTTTATATGCATGAAGTTTTTCTTTGTGGAGACACCTTAAAACAGTTGTACATCTTCTTCTACGAAGTGCGGTTTTCTTTTTAATGGTTTGACGTGTCCAAGCTCTATAAATTTGCATGGATTTTAGACAGTACCTTGTGAAATATTAGGCATTTGATGATATTTCTGATTAAATAGGTTTGCCACTTCCGTTTGACTTCTGCAATTATCCCCATAACCGATCATCATTAATATTTCAATTCGATTAGTTTCATTTAAATATTTCATTATTAATCAAGAGATATAAGTTTTCAATTGGGAATTTAATATTTTAATGTAAAATGTCAACACGCCAACAATTTTACAAGTAACAGATCAAATTTACCGATTTTGTTTGTTGTTATCTAGGTAGTTTTTACTTCTTCTAGACAAAAAAGGTTCTAAAATCATGATCCATGAACGTATCAGGTTTTATGTATTTCTGAAATTCACCCAAATACGTTGATACTTAATAATAATGTTTATTTGTATAGAAATATAAAGTACAGAATTGATAACAAAAAATAAACGAAAATACAATAAAATAAGATGAATACCATGAAGTAAAGCAGAGTTACTGTTATGTGGCATACAACACATTTTTACACATAATATATAAAAAGTATTTAAATTTACATAAAAATATGAAACCTTACTATCTAAAAAGTAAACAACAACAACAACAATAATAATAATACTAAGTATATACATAGGAAATTTAAACATGAATATTAATTACTCTAGATAAATCTATGTTTAACTAATTAACAATATTTTTAATATTTTCAAAATTTCACCCTGTATTATTCAGCTATAGCGTAAATATTATAGTTCGTTGAAGTCAGCTTAACAAGCAGCTTTCACAAATATAAAATAAACCAGTGTGTTCAATTGAAAAAAAAAAGTACCGACAGTGCTAGACTTACGTGACTCACCCTGTATGTTTATATTTTCGTTTGGAGAACGTACAATTTAGTTTAAAAGTTGCCTTGTTTTTTATAATTTTGTAAAATAGGGCCAAAAATAATTTTATTCCATAAGTGTATATTTTTCTGTCTTTCACTAAGTCAACTATATTTAAAAAAAAATAATTCATTAACATACATCTATATCGTAATGCTTGCCATATTTATTAACATATTTTAAGTTGTGTAATCATTTCAGCACACTTTTGGCATTTCCAGTGAAACTTTTTGAAATAATTTTAGTTTGTTTTTTCTGACTTGTAATGCATGTGAAATTTTACATTATGTTTACAAGTAAAAGGCTTAATACTTTTTTTTATATTCTTTAGATTTAAATCTGTTGGAATGTCCGGAAAAATGGCGGCTGTTCCACTCACCGACTGTAGATTTAGAAAGTCGGAACGCACTGTTAACTGATTTTTTCAAATATGCCTATTTGAATAACATTGATGTCGTCTGTGATATATATCGTAATATATTTCAATTCGGTGATATTTGGGAATTTGGTAAGATATTAAATAATATTTCTACATATGTGAATAATAATTCTTTACTTAATGGTTTATGGCCCATGACAAAATGAATCTGTAATTTCACAAAGCACATAGACATAAGTCACAATACTAATATGTGATGAATTATTATCACCAGCCGAATTAAATGAGCTACAAATACTATTATTATTAAAATGCGCGTTTCTGCTAAAGTAGTACAACTTCCTTTCCTACCATTGGGTTATGTCTTGAATTGATTCCTGGTGTGGTACTTCAGCATTCGTGTACACCACTTCCATCCCTTGGGCGTTTGCCAATACATCTGCATATCTGCTTTAGCAGATATGTTAATTTCACCATTCTTTTACCTGACCATTATTTTTTGGTCTTTATTTTCTCGAAGGCTCAGAAAATATGGAAGAGGGGCTTTGATGTAGTACACCTCTTGTGGTTGTTTAGTTTTCCTTTACATTATTTAATAATAAATACCACATTGTACTTAAAAATAAAATTTCATCCCATGTCATTAGACTAATCAATATCCATTTTTTATTTTTATTAATCCTAATATTAAAGTAATTCTAATTTGTTCTCATATACCTACCAAATCTCTCTTTGTTGGTAATGTAAGTGAACTTAGATCTTAGTTTAGCTCTAGTTTGTTAATCCATAAGACTATTTGTGTCGTATAGACCTGATGATGGCCCTAGGGCCGAAATCGGTTACCATTTAGTCACTTATAATGAAGAATAATTTTATGTGGAATTGCTTTTGTGTAGCATGTCCTTTCTATTGTTTATTGATTTTTTTTATTATAAAAGTTGTAGAACCTTTTTTTTTTTTTTTTTAGATGCACTTAGCTATTTCAACCCCATGTTGGAAAACCTAATAAATACTGAAAAAACCTCGTCGCTGAAGCACTTTTACTCGAACATTGAAATATTTTACAAAAAAATGAGCAGGAATATACTGAGAGCATTTATAATATACCTATACACTCATATAAACATTGAAAATACATTAAAGTTGTATTTAATGGGCGTACAAAAAGGAATATATGTCGATTATACCGTAAGTACATTAGGTTTTGTTAAAAAAAATATCTAATTTCAGGAATTATTCTTCCACACAATTAAATTTATTTAATTAAATATTCAATACCAAATTTTAACTTTTTTTTATTTAAATAATAACAAATCAGTTTATTATCTCAATGGTTTCTTATCTTTTTCTTTTAATCAAATTCTTTCAAAAATTCAAATATAAATTTTGTTAAATTTACTACATCTACAGTGAGGACCAACGACAAAAAATTACAAGACTAATCCATTCATTCATAATTAAGCCCTTTTTTATTGCAATCATTCATAATGTGTTTATTATTACACAGACAGAGCTGCCGCATCAGCTGCCCGGTGCACCTGAACTGCGGAAAAGATAATCTGGTTCTATAATCCGACACCCGAACTGCGGAAACAAAATAGTTTGAACTGGTCTGTATAATTTAAAACACCCGAACTGCGGAAACTGGTCTGCGAAATAATGGTAGCGTATGGAAAAGAAAAAAACGACCAGATACAATTTGAAATTCAATTTTATTTAATATGTAAACAATAAACTGGAGTGAAACAATACCACCAAATTTGTAAGAGACACACTTGACAAAGTCATACCTATTTATTTGATTATTATTGCAAAATTTTGGATTCAATATATTTTTGTTCATTTAAAACTTCGCTTCTCTGTAGCCTCTTCTCATGTTTTAACACAGAGTTAATTCTTATATAGGTGTCGGTCTGCATATTAATTACTAACTTTAAAAATATTAATATTTGGGTATGGAGAGGGACAATAGGCACTAAATTTGGAGTTAAATGACTCGCATGTATTAGTATTTTTACAAGTAGAAGAAGTTTTAGCTGCCCATATTTTGGGTGGAAATATAGAGTTAGTATCTATATATTGTATCCAATAAATAGGCACAAAACTGAGTATTATTTCATCATCTGGCTTCTCGGCCATGAAATCTTCAACAAATGAGGTCTTTATATTCTGTGCTCAGACCAAGTTGTTGTATTTTGCGCCAACAAAAAAAACGTTTATTATTTCACCAGTTGTGAAAAGAAAACATAAAAATAAATAAATAAAAATTTTGGTTTTAAAATCAATATAATATTAAAATCAACGTTTCAACTTTTCACACGTGTCTCATTGATAAAATATTTAGTAATGTCCTCTGAAAAACAGAACCCTTAGACAAGAATAGTTCATTTAACCCATAGACGTGTCCGCAGTTCGAGTTGGTGATTATATCCCTTTTTTATTACCTTTATATACCTGTCCCATGCGTTTCCGCAGTTCGAGTGCGTCCCAGCTGCCGTATTAGAAAGAAGGAGACAGCTGCTTATTTGAGTGGGGATGATTTGTACGAGTCACATCTGAGTAGCGAGCATGCGTTTTATGAATGAATCATTATTTACGTCTACTACGCTTGCTTTACACTGCTGTCACACTTCAAAATTAATTGCGTACTTTCCTGATAAACACTATACAACAACTATAATAGTTGCAATGAGAAAAAAATACAATAAATTTATAATAACTGGCATTAAGAATGAAAATATACTGCCCTAATGTAACTTTGAAAGCCTTATGTTTAGTCAATACCTTAGATAAAAGAGACCAGAGATATAACATAAACCGGTTTTAAACCTGCGCAAATGTTGCCAATTTCTAAAGAAGGGTTAACGGAGTGGGGGAACTGGGCGGCGACCCGAATTCTGTGAAATGGACCGGACTTTGTTTATTAGCATCTTAATGAACTATTAGGTTTATTTAAAAGGTGTTTAATCGAATTTTGTATTATGAAATGAAATTAACGTGATTTTTTAATATCAAACAGATGCCACGACATTTTATGTAAAGAGAAGACCTTTTATAGAATATTTCGTTAGCGTTTATTTACTACGGACTTTTCTGCAAGAGATTACAGTAAAATGTTGAAATAGAATATATTGTTAATAGAGCAAAAAGTGTTACTCATTGTCTACGAGTATTATAAAAATAGCATGTGCGCAGGCTAATACTGCAAATCTACCCTTATGAGTTGAACATTATATTTTTTCTACGGCTATTACATATTATTAAAAATTAGTCAAAATGAGAAAATGCTGTTTTGTATTGTAACCTCAGAAAAAAGTATATTAAGGCTTCTTTCTTTAAGAATATTAATTATTATAAAGGATGAGTCACATAAAACTCTAGAAATGCATATGTCTGAAACCAGATAACATTTTAAAATTTAAATTTATTAAAAGTCATTTGGTCGCTAGGGATGAGTGATTATCGAAATAAATTATCGATCATTGAAAATAATCGATTATTTTCGATCAATCGATTATTTTCAAACAATATATTTTTTGTCATTTCCTTTAAAATCGACTACTTGATTATCTTCGAAAAATCAAAAATAATCGATTAATTAAAGAGCCAATTAACCGATAAATCAGTGTTTACAAAATATAATATAAATAGAATTATCGTTTATTTTAAATAATCGATTATTTTCAAATAAACCATTTTTTTTTTCGTCCATGGAAACAGATTATTCGATAATCTTTGAAAAATCGAAAATAATCGATTAATCAGAAATAATCGATTAATTAAAAAGTCGATTAACTGATAAATCGATCAAAAAAAAAAAACAGAATGATCGATTATTTTAAATAATTGATTATTTTCGATCAATCGATTATTATCAATAATCTATTTTTATTGTATTTCCTTTAAAATCGATAATTCGATTATCTTTGAAATACCAAAAATAATCAATAATTCCAAAATAATCGGCTAATCGAAAATAACCAATTAATTAAGGAGCCGATTCTATGATAAATCGATTTTCCAAAAAATAAAACGAATTATCTATTATTTTCTAATAATCCTTTTTTCATATTTCCTTTAAAATTGATTATTCGATTATCGAAAATAATTCATTATTAAAAAGCTGATTATCCAATAAATCGATAATTTTAAAAAAATAACAAAAATATCGATTATGTAAAATAACCGATTATATTCAATCGATTATTTTCATATAATATCTTTGAAAAATCGAAAATAATCAAATAATTAAAAAACCGATTAAACGATAAATCGATTATTTTGAATAAATCTACTTTTTTTGTATTTCCTTTAAAATCGATTAATACATTATCTTAAAAAAAAACGAAAATAATTAATTAAAAACAGCGGATAAATCGATTTTCATTAAAAAATATCAGAATTATCGATAAATCGATTATTTTTGTAATCCCTATCGGTCGCTTGCTTTTATCTGAGCATTTAGCTCCAAAATTTAGAGATTCGGATTTTTTGATCCAGTTATCTTTGAAATCGCATTCGATTGTATAATAAATAAATATTGTTAAATTTTGGATTTTTTTTTAGTAAACGAAAATTATGTTCGAGTTGTTTAGGGGTTTGTAATGTAACATTTTATTAACGTGACTAAGGGTCGATTCGACCGTTGTGTTAAACGAAGTTTAAAATGACATTTTTACATTAACACTGTCATTTTAATCTCCGTTTAACACAACGGTGGAATCGGACCTAACTCCTGTAACTTTAGTATTTTTTTTTTGCTTATACTAGATTACTTTGTTTTAAGACTGAAAATTCAATGTCACTTTCGATTTGACCGCAAATAAGATGAACCTTGAAATTTTAAGTAGGTCATCCTGTATTTCATCTAATATTCTTATAAAAATACCTTATAAAAATAAAATTTAGCTAGCAACTATGATTCTTTACCTCTTATTTATCTACCAAAAAGGGCTAAAAACTACCTTTAGAAAACTCTCTTATAAAACTACTTTTTAAATACAAAATTTCGTTAGCAATAATGCCTATTCACTATTTATTTAAATTAAATGTTCAAAATTTTACCCTTTTGTAAATTTATGTAAGTCATATGAAATCTGATTTCTGATGCTTAATATTTATTGAAACCCCTTAATGCGGATCTGAAGTATTCAGCCCAGAGAATCATGGCGCTTTATGTCAAAACGTTAATAAATATTTACCGCTGAAAACGAATATATTCATAACATTAGTACTTGTATTATAAGTACATATAATTTTTCAAGATACATCGTGACATTTTGAACTTGAAATTGAATAACTAGAACACTTTAAATTGCTAAAATACCAACAAATAAATCAAAAAACAGCTGTCAATGGTGATTAAACTCAGGTGGAGGTGATCGCTGAATGGAAATCGGAGCAATTCGGGTGGTGTCGTGCAACAATGATTTTCAATTAGTGGGTTACTTTGGCTTAAAATAGACAACATGCGCAGTGTGCAATGTTACATCTTCGGTCTCTTTAATCTAAGGTCAATACCAAATTATAACCATATGCAATCTTTGTTGTAACAATAATACTCTCCCATACTCATAACAATTTGACAACTGCGTGGATGACACCATGAATGTTTGCAATTCGATTTTTGTCAAAATAAGTCTAGTAGTTTTTCGTCGTTTGTGAAGACCTATAGGTTGGAATCGCAGAGCTAGGATATATAGAAGGAGCATGAGAGAGACAGACTTGTACGTATTCAATGTTAGGCGATATTGCAAACATCGTGGACTTTCAGGTTGTTTGTTTTGACAAGGACTCGATTCATGAACGTAGAAAATTTCCAGTGGCGTAGTTTTATTTTGAAAACAAAAATCAATAATTTGTTATTTGTATTAAAATGAAATTTCAGATTGTTTGATTAGACGATGTCTTAAAGTGGTTTTCACATACCCATATGTATTTAGTAGTGTTATTAGGTAAATGTAACACTTTCAACCAGACAAATCTACGCTCATCCCTTGGAATGATACAAAAGTTTACACTTTTATTAATAAAAACCAGATCTTAAAAATATTATTATTATTATTTTTTTTAATCAAACACATTGATTTATTTATTATAATTTGATTATTTGAAATGAAATTACTTCGCCTTTTCGAAATTTTTTATGTAAATGACTTCATATTCATAAATAATTAAATGTTAATTCAAAGAATATATGTATTTTACACACTATAATACAAATGTATTCTACAAATCATAGATCATTAACTAAACAATATAACAAAATTTTATTTTATTAACAGCTAAAAACAGAATAAAACTCCTCTGGGAAACACTATACATAATAATAATAATAATAATAATATTTATTTTGCAGAAGTAAATACATGAATAACAAATAACAATTGGCAATATGTCAATAAATTTTTGCAATTTCTACGATGCTGAAGTGCCTGTGTGTAGATTAAATGATTTATACAATTTTTGAACTAAATTAAACTAAACCAAGAACTAACAAAATTAAACGATTTAAAAATACTAATACAGAGGTTTTATTACTCAAGCAAAACTTTTTTTACGGAAGTGAGATTTTCGTTTTTTTTTTTTTTTTTAATTTTCAATTCTAGCCGTTGTTTTTTTTTTTTTTTTTTTTTTTTTTACACCCTTCGGATCTCCCTAATCCGTCTATAGCCTGGTGGCACTGCAGCCTGCGGCTTATTGTATTACCATTTGAAGATCCTACTACTTTCTCATTCAACAATTCACTCCCTGATTTCCCTGATTCATCGTCATTCATTCCACGTCGTCGGTGGTTAACCGCTAGTCGGATGAGTCCCATAGTGACACGGCCCATGGTGGAACCTCCCAGCGGTCACCCATCCACGACGTGACCGGATAATCACTGCTTAACTGTTGCGAGTATGTGGATGCACACTAAGCTCGCAGCTAGCCCCTCCGGCTAGCCGTTCTGTTTCTTTAACAAATATTTTTAGAGCATTTAGAAATTTGTACTTCATTTTTCAGTGTTTCGGGCAAATAATTAAACATTTTTGGTGAAGTTAAATAATGTATTTCAGCTTCTTCGTACAAGTCATTAGAAGGGCACAGAAAGGGTTTATTCAAAATTTATCTTAAAAACCGTTTCTGCATTATTTCAAGCGGTTTAGGGCAAGTCTTAGCCATTCCACCCCAGCTCACTATGCCATAACAATAGAAATAATCGGAAGATTCGGAAGTAGAGAAGCATCATAAATCATAATAATGACTAATAGGCTTATTTTGGGTTTTGGTTATTTCGCAAATCAGTTCAGTATCACTGAATTCCATTCGATTAGCTAATATATTGTTATAACATAGCGACGTTTTCTTGAAAAAATAATACATCAACTGTATTTGAGAATTGAATTTGACGGTTCTGTTTTCTGTTTGAACCACTGATTTTGAAGCCATAACTATGCTGACCTTTGCCAGATTTAGTAAAGTATTACAAATGCTTAAGAACAATCAAATTTACACCTTAATGTGCTAAAGTATTTTTATATTAATAAGTATTGTATTACTCTATCTAAAATTGTTTGTCTTGATTGACTGACCTATCAACGTACAGCCAACACTACTGAGTCTAGAAAGCTGAAATTTGGAACATAGGTTTATTTTATAACGTAAGCATTCGCTAAAAAAGGATTTTTGGAAATTTTAACTTTAAAGGGGGAAAATGGGAGTAGGGAGCTTTTAATGAAACTCAGGGTTTTTGGATTTTCACATTTTAAGGGTGGGAAACGGGGAGTGAAAGTTTGTATGGGAATATCGTTTTTTTTTGTTCTTTTTGAAGTTAGTAACATGAAAATTGGAATTGCAGCTACTGACTACAAATTATTAATGACGTGTTTCAGAGTTTTTGGATTTTCATATTTTAAGGGGGAGAAATGGGGGGTGAAAGTTTGTATGGGGATATCGATTTTTTTTTTGTTCTCTTTGAAGTTAGAAGCAGGAAAATTGGAATTGCAACTACTGAGTCCAAATTAATAATGACATGTTTTAGGGTTTTTGGATTTTTACATTTTAAGGGGGGAAATGGGGGGTTAAAATTTGTTTAATAGTATGTATATATTTTTTTGTTATTTTAAGTTTAAAACATAAAAAATTGAATTACAGCTACTGATTATAAATCAAAAATGAATGTGTCTCATGGTTTTTGGATTTTCACATTTTATGGATGGAAAACTGGGGTGAAAATTTGTATAAAGTATAAATTTTTTGAACGTTGGAACTTGAAAATTATAATTGTAGCATAAATAAATAATGTCGTGCTCTGTGGTTTTTAGATTTTTGTATGGTAGTATCATAAAAATAAACTAAAATTAAAAAACTAATTATTAAAAATGAATAAAAGTTAATAAAATTAATAAAAATTAATGAAAATGAATAAAAATTAATAAAAATGAAAAAAAAAAATGAATAAAAATGAATAAAAATGAATAAAAATGAATAAAAATGAATAAAAATGAATAAAAATGAATAAAAATTAATAAAAATGAATAAAAATGAATAAAAATGAATAAAAATGAATAAAAATGAATAAAAATGAATAAAAATGAATAAAAATGAATAAAAATGAATAAAAATGAATAAAAATGAATAAAAATGAATAAAAATGAATAAAAATGAATAAAAATGAATAAAAATGAATAAAAATGAATAAAAATGAATAAAAATGAATAAAAATGAATAAAAATGAATAAAAATGAATAAAAATGAATAAAAATGAATAAAAATGAATAAAAATGAATAAAAATGAATAAAAATGATTAAAAATGAATAAAAATGAATAAAAATGAATAAAAATGAATAAAAATGAATAAAAATGAATAAAAATGAATAAAAATGAATAAAAATGAATAAAAATGAATAAAAAGGAATAAAAATGAATAAAAATGAATAAAAATGAATAAAAATGAATAAAAATGAATAAAAATTAATAAAAATGAATAAAAATGAATAAAAATGAATAAAAATGAATAAAAATGAATAAAAATGAATAAAAATGAATAAAAATGAATAAAAATGAATAAAAATGAATAAAAATGAATAAAAATGAATAAAAATGAATAAAAATGAATAAAAATGAATAAAAATGAATAAAAATGAATAAAAATGAATAAAAATGAATAAAAATGAATAAAAATGAAAAAAAATGAAAAAAAATGAATAAAAATGAATAAAAATTAACAAAAATGAATAAAAATGAATAAAAATGAATAAAAATGAATAAAAATGAATAAAAATAAATAAATAAAAATGAATGAAAATCAACAAAACTAATAAAAATTAATAAAATGTATTTTTTTATATTAACACGACTACATACGAGCAAAGTCGCGAGCAAGGCCGCGGGTAACAGCTAGTTATTTTATATAACGCTTATCATAAAAGATTAATGTGTTTAAAATAAAACTCAATTATTTTAATAAACATAGAAGCTTTGAATACTAAAAAGACTTAATATATAAAACTTAAATTTGGCAACATTGTTTTCGGATGATTGTTGTTAAACATTTACGTTTTCTCTCTCTGATGCTACCTCTATAGATCCTAATTCTGTGGCTGAATAAATTCGATATTTATTTTTTAACAAAACGCTTTCACAGGTCAATTTTAGAATTTATTCCAACCTATTCATCCTCACTGTATGTATATATCACGGTAAATTTAGTAAATTAATTGATAACGTAAAGGTTAATGACGTTTTTACCTTAACCATTGTGTTTATTTGTGTGATTCTCCAATTATTCATCAATCAAGAAAATGGTAAATGTCAATATTTGAAAACGACATTGACCGCCTAATTAACTTAAAAATCTAATAAAATCCGTTAAAGGTATGGCTAACATATTAAATGCGAATATTAAAATAAAAAATCAGTAAGAGTTTTTCACCCAGAATTTTCCTCAATATAAAAACTATAAAAACTGTAAAAACAACGAACCTCTAATAACTTACATTTTAACAATTTAAAATTAAAACCATCAAACCAAAAACCCTTTTTCACCTTCCTCTCCATCGATCTTCCTCTTGATCCCACCCGTACTTTCACTTCGGTATTCTGCGCCACGTTCACCGTTATTGAACGCTAATATTTGACTGCTTTTAAAATGGTCCTTATACACAAACCAAAAGGACGCTTTTTATTATTTGTATTTCAATTAACTACCATTCCTTTCAACACCATTTTGAATTTTTAAAAACTTATATAGGATCTGTTATACAGGGTGTTCCATCTCAGACGAGCCACCCCGCATATTTCTTATCCCATAGTAACTGGAAAAATTTCCCGAAACACGTCGGATGATTTTCTTTGGGGGACATCTTTTGACGTATATTTGAGGCTTAAACAAGCAACCCCCTATGAGGAGGCGCTTCAACCCCTCAAAATTGAATAGGGAAGAGGGGTTGAGTGATACTTCATTTGTAAGCTCTTGGAAGCCTTTTTACAAAGGTGTATGAAAAAATCACATTCTTAAAAAAAAATTAATTGTGAATAAAAGAAAAATAAATAAAGTATAATTAAATCGATTGGACATAAGCACACTAACATGACAATAATTGTTCAATTTTTATCAAGAATGTACCTAGCTAGTCATTCTTATCGATCAGTTATAAGAAAAATTGGAAATAATATCATTTTGGATTTAATTTTCTATATTTTTTTTAATATCTATAAACACATTCGAATGAAAAATAATGTATGACACACCAACGAAAAGTGTATTTTCGGACTCCAACGCCCGAAAAACTACTAAACTTTTCACCCTAATAACAAACTACCATTATGAGGACGAAAATTTAAGTTTTTCTACTTCGAGTAGTTGGCCAGGCGAAACGTGTTTCATACATTATTTTTTATTCGAATATGCACATTTTACTAATTTTGCGCTCAATAAACATATGCAAACAGGGTACATTTAATGTGATATTAATTTTGTTCTTGATTTATTACAGGGTAAGGAAACTTGGATTCTGGTAAGGACTAACATGTCAGATGTCGAACTGAAACTCATTTTAGAATATTATATGCGTAAACTAGACCTTCTACCCAAAGAATTGAGCAACCACGATCTTATAATAGAAATCAAACTCCCCACCGAGATGATGACATCGCCGAATATTTTGCAAAGATGTGTGCGCAGCATCGCGGAAGTGAATAATTCGGTTAAAAAAATTTTATATCAGTGTTTCGGTATCTTTTTGAGAGAACCCGATCAGAATCAAAACAGTAATAGTACTGTTATTCATATTCCTAAAGAAGAACTCAATAGTGAGAGTAGAAACGCTTATAGGTGATAAATTTTAAGGTTTACTTCTTTTTCTTCTTTAGTTTTGCGTTATGTAAGTATATTTAAATATGTTTTCCCATATTGGGAATAAAGGTCTGTAGAGATCATTTTCTACATAAAAAAATATATAAAACAATCATAGTAATATGTTACAGATTTTATAAACTTAATTAAACTTTTTGGACCATGCATGCGTGAGATGTCATGTTGGACGGATGACAGCTCGAGTATGTGCGGTTCGAAAAGTGTTCTCAATTGCTATATTTCTTACTGACTCAGCTCTAAACTAATAACGGTTTTTTTGTATAATATGCCTCCCCTTGATATTTTGTAGTGTGACAAATGACAGGTCGAACAATATTTACACTATATCAAGAGCTACTATTGAATCAATTTATAATTCCTAGAAACACCTCGTATTTTATATTATAAAGCTTTTTACGGGCTTTCTAAGACCAGGGCTTAGTTATTTTCTTACATTTAGTTCAATTTTTGATTTATTTATCTAGTTTTTCGCCTTTCGTCTTTTCCTCAGTCTGCCTCACTTCGATTTATAAATTAGTTCTTTTCCTGTTACATTTTTTACTATTATTGGGTCGTTTATGCTGTCTAGATGCCCAGCCACTAGTATTTTTGAAATTATACACATCAATTTTTTGTTCTTTGTAAAATCTAGTCCAGGTTTTTCTAGCCTAAGCAGTAGGGTAACCCCTGTCCTGGGCGTTATTTGTGAAAATATAGAATTAAGCTAAAAATAGGTTGGTTTAATTAGATGTTCTCAGGCTACCTTTTATGGGTGTTTCTTTTCCAGTCTTTATCTAGAGGATATTTGTAACAAACAACCCCGCAAGATTACTTCCCTCTAGTATTGATAGTTTTCCCTCTATAGCGTTCTGAAGGGAGCACGTCTTGTCGTTGAAGGCCACATTCCCATGTTTTGCACTGCTTTCATTTCGCGAGCGTTATGGGCCAAATGGATGGTCTTATTGACATTTTTCAAAAACCCATTTTTCCTCAATAAATACACTTTACAATAGTTTTTGTTCGAGTTGTTAGCTTGACAATTATTAGGTGAATTGCGAGCGCTCAAAATCGGCTGATGTTTGTAAATTTCATTAAAATTACCTATGTTTTGTTATACTTATAATTTCCCATTAAAACCTATAAAAAAAATCTATGTTGGACTCAATTGTTCATTATTAGTGAAGCCAGCTAGATACGATTCATCAGAGCATTGATTTACCTCTCAGTTTTTGCATTTAAAATACACCCTTTGGGGCAACATCAGAGATAACAGGAGATATAGCTATTCATTGACAAAATATAATCGTAACGCCGACATCGTTACCACAGCTTAAATAATTTGATATGGTTCAGTTGTAGATCAGGAGTAGAGAGACATGTGGTGCGAGGTAAGGCAAGGGATAAACTGAAGGATTTGACGACCCTACAAAATAATTTTAACAATGAATACATGTGTAAGCCGTTGTACGCCCATATTAAACAACGTACAAAATAAAATCATGTAGTACAAGATATTCAGCTCAACATTAACTAGGTTTTGGAATTTAATGAAAATTATTACATCTAATTTAGTGAAATTACGTCTAATTTAGTAAAATTGCATCTAATTTAGTTAAATTTGATATAACTAATGATTCAATTTTTTTGGGGTTTAGTTGTAAGTACCTGTTCGGTCACCTTCGTGAGTGTTTGGTCACATTTAAATAAAAACCGATTCAGACAATTCACACTTCCCTCCATGATTCAAACGAACTCCTGCGTGAATACCGTTTAAAAAAATTTAAAAAAATGCGTTTCTTGTAGAACTTTGAATACATTTTAAGTGCATCTATTTGTTTCCTTGTAATTTTCCTACTTGCCCATTTTGTTCTATTAAAAAGGAATCAGATTTTCCAGATTTTTAAAAAACTTTTCTTCTACAGTTTCGGCTATTGAAAACCGGTTTGCTAGAATGTCGAAGCGAAATCCACAGAGTTAGCATTAGTGCAAGCAGTAAACGGCCGCCTGGCTTCGTGGGGATAACTCTCGGTGTGCTTATTCACAATATATCATGTCCGCTGTCTGCGCTGAGTGATGTGAATTGCGAATAGACACAACATATATCCCCATCATTCAACTAATGCGAAGTCTGTAGTTTTCACTTCGACACTAGCAAACTGTATTTGAAGGTCTTCAATAGCCGCTACTGTATAGATTTAATACATTTAAACGTCTTTTCAATGTTCTTTCGCTAATTTTTATATTGTCACGTAATTCCGGTTAAATTAAAATTTCTTGATAATTTAAACCCAGTAAAAAATATTCTTTAATTGGCTTTTCTTGATAATTCATTTATATCAGTTCGCAGTTCGTTTCCCTATAGCACAGCAAAGACCACTCAAATCCCAAATTAAATAGGCTGGAGAAAGGATAAGTGGGATAAAAATCGTAATCGGTGTTATCTTTTAATGTCGTTAATTATTTTTAAGTGTGATAGGTGCAGGTGGCAATGCCCTAAAATGCTTTTGTAAAGATGACAGGACTGGACAAGCAGGTCCTTCATTATCTATTTTTTTACTTTTTTCTAAAAATTTTGAAGCGTATTAATAAAACAATACAAAAGTTTACTGTTATAAAAATTATAGGTACCATAAACGAACCAAACTTACTTGAACCCAAATATTTATATGAAAGTGTTTGTGCTTTGAAAGCTTTTAGTTGAAGAAACCGTGGGTGATCGACCTTCACTCATCTGATAACCAGATGAGACATTTTTTACGCAATTTTATGGGAAGTTGCCATTTGAAGTGTTCATAGCTATTTTTAATTAATCATTTTTTTTTATAACCGAACAAATTTAATTTTAACAGATAATTTTTAACGTGGAAAATATGCTTATATAGGCTTGTTTACTTATTTCTGTTCATGCCTACCTGGCAAGCAGGTATGAAAGGTAAGTCAATATAGGTAACTACACCGATAAAAATTAATATCAGAAGAGAGAATTTAATTACGAAAATAATTGTATAGGTTTGCCTGCAAAAAACTGTTGAATACTAATGCCATGCTTTAAAGTTTTTAAATCGGAGCAATTAAATATGTGCGAGAGAGAAAGCGTCTTTCAAATAGATAATCCTGCTGCGTATAAAGTCCTACCTCGCCGCCAAAGGTTGTAACACAGTTTCGTCCGTCATATCACCTGCGTACGATTCTATGCTTTCCGTTTCCCAAGATACGCAATCGGCGGCGTCGTCGTTCGAAGAGTCTTCATCCGAAAAATCGTAATCGGCCGTTTCTGGAATAAACTCGATATCTTGAGGCCAACAGTTTTCTTGCCTACCGTCCAGCCATTGCACTTTTAGCTATCCCTCTAGACAAATGTCGATCACTTTTCCCGTTTTCTCTTCTTCAGCAGCTTTTGATTTAACTATACTACGAGGACACAAATTTCGAATGTTTCTTCAAATCGTAAACACTCATTTCATTTATTGCTAATTCTGTAGGTTTTTCTCAGTTTCAGAGTAAGTAAACCATTTAATACTGGCAATTCTTTCCGAATAATTGACACTTTGGCCAACACCGTAGCTGTCCGTTTCCGGCTTGCTATCATTAATGACCCATTCTCCGGGAAAACATTCGTGATCGTCTAAAGATATTGAATAATACAGTTGGGTGGATGGTATATCTTTTTCTTAGGAACCGTCTTGCCACACTACGTTTACTTTAGATTCTACGCATATTACCTCTACAGCTAATGTGTTGCCAGGTACCAGATCCTAAGATTTAGGTGGGTAATGCCTTTTATTGTTTTTAGTTGAATTAGTGATATGAGAAGAAGTGGTATCATCATTATCAGATTCATCCGATTCTTCTGTCCACCATTCATCCTCCTCTGAATTTAAATTTACTTCTTTATTTTGAGAGTAAACCAACGATGACGACCTAAACTTACTTATTCTAGGAATTATCTGCGCTATCGGGACTTAGCGGGGTTGTCGGTGCGGTGGACTCTCTTCCCCCAATATTTTGGTCGTCAGCTATCATAAAACCGAAAACTGACGTCAGGATCATCCTTATATTCTTGCTTGACCCTTCTCGAACTGTCGTCTAGATTATTCTTGACGGGTAATGACATTTCTGGACTATTCTATCTTATTTTACTTGTACTTTTACTTATGACGACCGCAGCACACTGTAGGGCGATGAGTAACATTCCACTTCTTTTTCTATATGTACGTTTCCTATAATAATAGCCGCAGGGTGCTGTGTAAAAATATTTAATGCTTAGCATTTTATATTATACTCTTCACAGTTTGACAGACCCCCTCTTGTCCCCATTTTCAATTAGATTTAATTCAGAATCAAGGGCTTCTTATAGAGCTCGATTTTTGTTAAAAATTTCAAGTTAATATCATTTTTCGTTTTTGAGTTAGAATTTTTTTTTTAACTTTACTTAACCCCATATATTTGTTTAGATTATTTCAGAATCAATAGGCTTTGTTCCCTTATAGAGCTTGATTTTTGCTAAAAATTTCATGTTGATATCGCTTTTCGTTTTTAGCTTGTTTCTTTTTTTTAATTTCAACCTCCCTTAAACCGCCCATTTTTTTTTTGCTAACAATTTTTCGTTTTTGAGTTTTTCTTTTTAAATATATTAACGCCTCCTGTATCCCCCAAGTTATTCAGAGTTTTCAGAATCAATAGACTTTATCTTGTAGAGCTTGATTTTCCAGACATTTTGAAGTCGATATCATTTTCGTTTTTGACTTATCGTGTGGACAAAAAACGTGACATTGGATGGACGAACACATACTGTGTGAAGAGTATAGTAATAATTATTATATATTCCTTTTATAAAAATCTGTACTATTTTTGCATTTTATTTTCTGACAAGAAACCTAAGTTAGTGTAACCTCGAATGTATCAGAAACGGTTAGATATAGGGCAAAATATTACATAAAAAGTGTGTAAAATGAATCATGGGATTCAGAAATGTTGAAAAATATAGGCGGTCCTACGTGAAATTACAAAATTATCACTTACCACAAGTTCTTGGTATTCAAAATGATCCTCATCGGATAGCCCACATTTTTTACCTTTAAGCCAAATTATCGGTTTACTTTAAATAGAACACCTATATTTTTTCATACCATCTGAAAGTTTCTTTCTTCCCCTATTCAAAAATGTATACATTGTGATTATTTATTGAAGGTTTGAAGGATATATTTTTTATGAATCTACATCAAAAACATATAATTGTACGATTGTTGGAATTTCTGTTAAAGTTTATTCATTTTTTATAATTTTTTTTAGTATTCACGTATCATAAACCATCCCAAACAAACAAACAAACAAACAAACAAACAAACCAAAAAGCGTGAATAATCGGGTCTTTATCGCACGCCGTGCATATAAAGGTTCAATAAATAAGATTAGATTGTCAGATTTTTTTTTGAATTGTGAAATTAATGAAATTGTTTACAAGTTTATCTGAATCAAGTAACATGAATAGAAAAATTATTCTAATAATTAAATGAAATGTCAAATGACATTTACCTACCCACTCGATAAAATGCATGGAATATTAATTTGCATTTTTCAATTAAAATGATTGTAGTTTTTACTAATATTACTATTGTAATTACACATTCATACTAAAAAAATATCTTATGACACAATGCATAATCGCCTTTAAAGCATTCTTAACGTTAAGGACACTCTGCTGCGCGTCGTGGCCTTAAACTAGTTGCTCATGCTTTAAAGGCTCGATTATGCATTAGTGTCATAATGTACTATTATGGGTCTATTTTCTGATTTATTAAAAAAAAAATGATCTGATACTCGGTAATCTAAATGTGTCCTTCTTTCAAAGCCGCCTGATATATTAAACAGCTTTGAAAAAAAATATAACTGATGTTAAGAAACGTCAAATGATTTATGTGACGTAGTTCAAGAACGAACACACTCAAATTTATTGACCGACATTGTAAAAATAGGTATTTTTTGGTAACTATGTTGAAGCAAATTTAAGAAGTTTTAGCGAAAACTACACGTCGATATCTTTTTCCATTCTTGAATTTTAAGCTGTCAAAATGTGTTACTTTATAGTGGGACACTCTGTATTATATTTTCCTTATTAGTTCTGACTACTTAAAAATTGAATATAGGACGCACCTTTCTGTCGTCCTCGTTATTCCTCTACCTCCCGTCACTCTAACCAACACTATTTATATAGGGAAGGTACCATATGTTGGCACGTCATCATCATCATCGAAAAGGTGATTTTATGGGAAATTCAGCAATACTGTTCATTGCGTTACTTTTGTTTTTAGCGCTGTCTAGCGGGATAAAAAAACTGTTAGGTGTTTTAAAGTATGACATTTCATTTGAAAGCTACTTTCATTTTTAATTTCTTCCTCAATGTGTTCAATCTGCTTTTTTTTTCATTCAGTATATTTGAAGTTATTCGTAAAAAACAATTTTTGATGAAAATAAATACTTACATTTCGTAAAGCGTCTTTATTTTTTTATATTACTCTGTGTAGAATTTTTTTTTATTTTCGTTTTTAAGTTTCAAGATTTTTTAATAGAGAAGAATGAAATAAATGTTTGATACATTTTGAAGTTATACTTAATTTTAGATAGCTGTTGAGAAGAAGTTTTTTTTTTATTTACTTATTTTTTTTATAGAATAAACGTTATTTCTTATTATGTACCATTCATCTCATTTTGCCAGTGACTGTAGATTTACCATTACATAAAAGTTTTCTAAAAAAATTATGGAAATTCGATTATTAATTATCTCTGGAAATATCATATTTTTCTCATTTTCATGTCTTATGATTTTTTTTTCGGGATAGTGCATGTCTAAATTTCGTATTAAAAGTCATTACTTTTAAAATTTTTAGTTATTGTACATCTTTTTTTAAAAGATAGATTATTTTACGCCTATCTTCCATTGGCTAAATCTGTGATATTTGAAATAACTTTAATGTAACAATTTTTAAGTAAAAAATTGAATTTGCAAATAGGGGAATAACACAGACTACTGACTTTTGACTTTTACATACATTTACGCCAACTATAGACTAGTACATAACTGTACAATATTTTTATTATAAATAAGAGAATCTCAATACATGATTTGCGAGTTGCCAATTTTTAAATTCATTAAAATTTTACAAAACATTTTAAATATGCGGGGGAAAATTACATATGAAACCTTAAAACAGTTTTTCACCATGATGAGTTTAAACATATGGCCTATTATTTCTTATTGATTTGTTAAATGTGCATGAAATAATTTGGTTTAATTACAAATTTGTTTAAAAATCCAAAAAAATCTCTTTAATTGAAAATCTAACAGTTTTCATAATTCTTTATATAGTTTTATTCAAATTTTGTAATTAGCTCGAAATATGCATTCAAAAAAAATTTGTATTTCAGGTTTCAAATACGAATTTTTAGAAAATGACTATAAATATTCTCGTAAGAGGAATTAGATAGGTATTTGTTAAAATATTTTGTTCTTTGTTTATGTTAGCATCTAACCTATATATTTTTTATTAAAAATTTTCTAAAATATTTTTGTTTTGTTTCCTGTTTTCTAATTTCCTATTTTCAGCTTAATCTTAATCACTGTACTGGTTCCGTTCAACTCTAAAGAGCAGATCGAGTTAAGGTGATTACAGTACCCTTTGTAATTTTCGGCTAGACCTAACTCATAAACACTTAATAAAAACAAATAAAATTTTAAGATAATAAATTAGGGATTAACGTATCATCAGGAATTAAGGGCACTAACAACTGGTTGTAAGAACGATTGTTAAAATCTCTTTAGCTAATGAACCCATAACTAATTCAGATTAAAACTGGCAACGGCGCTTTTCCAAATAACAGTCTGTCGCTTCACAGCTGATTGTTAATGAAGTTTATTTGGTTGTATTTTTTCAAACATTAATTATAAATAAAACAAAAAATAAAATTGTGGCTCAACCTTTACTGCTACGGTTAAAAAATAGTTTAGTCATCTTCACTCAATATAATGCCAGTTGTTTCAATGGATATTGTGCTCAATGTAAGGAATTACTCTCAAGAATTAATATATCTAAGCCGTAAACAGGTAAAATTTATAATATTCATACTATATTTCCTTTAAACATTAATTTTAACACTATTCCGCCTATCTTGTTTCGACATCAGCTCATATTTTTTAACAGACAAGCAAGGACAGTCGATTCAGAGAAAAAATGTTTTACACATGAATATAATTTCTTAATTAAGTAGAATGGCTTAAATGAAGAAAAGGTTCCAATGAGGCACTAGAAAAAAAGGAGACTTGACAAGGTTCGTATTTTTTCAACAAATTTTTAATACTCATTTAACTGCCCTTATAGTGCTCGACTACAAATCTGTGATTTGTGTAACAATTAGTTTAAGGCAACAGTATTTAAATATATTTTGTCCTTTTTGTATAAACTAAAACTATTTTTCTTATACTTACTTTACATTTTCTATTCCCCGTTGTCATCATGGAAAAGCACATTTTGGTAAGCTAAATCTCGCCCTTTCTGTTTATTATTTTTTCAAAATAAATAGAAATACATAATTAAAAATATGTTTAGTTTTTATTATGTGTGCAAATCCCATTTACTGTGGTGATATTTCCAATATATTTTCTATTTTTTTCAAAAAAGGAGGAGGTTTTCTCAATTAATCGAGATATATTTTGGTATGTATGTAAGGGTTGAGCGAATTTGAACTTTTTTAAATTTGAAAACGGCTAGTGCGCAAAAGCTGTTTCTTGTGACATAAAACAATGTGGCAGAAGCTCAATTTTATTAAAGAATTTTTGGAGGGGCCCCTCCTATTTCTTAAAATTTTAAATTAATACATATTGTTGAAGAAAAGACCACACATACTTTTTTTTATATACAGTGTCTTAAATTTATATGTCGACAATTCATTGAGGGTTCTGTCAGTATTCTTTCTTAAGCTGTGGTATTGAAACATCCAAAGGTCACAAGAAGATTGGATGTCGTTGAGCGGATGAAATGCAAGGTGAGTGTCGAGCTTTTAACATATTTTATGCTTCTATATTAGGCTTGTTCTAATTTGTCAGTTTTTGTGAAGCATTCAGGGCACCTAAAAAACTCGGACAAACTATATCACCAACTTATTACAATGTGAAAATATTTTTGTGGATTAGGCAGCAATTGAAATTAACTTGTGAAAAAGAACCAAATGCCTGTGAAATAACAACAATTGTTGTAAATGAACTAGAAAATTGGCTGCTATAATCACTTCTGCTGTTTTGGAGGATTTAAATATTGTTACGCCTGCTGATTTTTCAATAGAAATTGACATGAGTATGGTAAGGAAAAGGGCCGAGCGTTAGAACAAAGAAATTGTGACCGGACTTCTCCACCCTAATATAAATTCACAATAATTCTGTACTACGTTGTCCAATTTAGAAATATTCTTTGTTATAAGGGGGGTAGGTACCTCAGGGATAATAATACCTTCGTTTTTGAAGTTTTTTAAAATTCCTTTTATAACTTGTACATTTTTCAATCTATTAAAGTAAAGAAAGGTTAAAATTGGAATTACTTACAAAATTATCTTTGAAAAGAGATTCATGAAAGCCATCTCGTGGTATTAATTATAAATAATTTTGAATTGGTAATCATGGTTCTTCCAGCCAGAACTTTGTAAACAGAATGAAGTCCTTTTTGCCATGAAAACCATATGTAGTCTTTGAATTCTAATCATGGTCCTTCGAGCAAAAGTTTAAAAATTTGAAAAACCTATGGAAGAAGCAAACTACCAACATGTAGAAAAACAAAAAAAATAAGTCATTCTGCTAATCTCAATGACACAGGTTCGTAAGAATCCAAGCCAAAACCAAAGAAGCAAATGCTTTCAAACCAAATTTAAGCTCGTATCAAGCGAATTCGGCACCCAGACAACCAAGAAACTTCCGCTCGATTAAAGTTCTCCATACTTAAACCCAAGAAGCACCAACGATTAAAATTCTTCATTACTCAAGCCCAAGAAGCACCAACACTTAATAAAATCGAAGCTCATATCAAGCGAATTCCACAACCATACAACTAAAGGACTTCCGCTTCAGTTGCCTCTGCCACTTTTCTTTTAGGAGTTTCAAGGAGCATTTCACTATGGAAATCAGGAAAACCGTCGTGGTTGTTAACATTTTGAGTTTGGTAAGGTCTTGTTAAACTTTCCTCTTACACTGCTGTAACCTTTTGGATAATATGTATAAAATGGATATATTTTGGATAATATATAGGGCTTTATATCAAGCGCCGGTACACACATGACACATTGGTATCACAGAAGTGGGAAAGAAAATTGTGACAAACATCGCATGTTTGCGGGTTCGCCAAATTTTCTCCTTCCACAACAAAATGTTGGTATTCGTGCGTGTTCCTCGCATTTGGATGTTTAGCTAACATGATATCTCGCTGAATACAGTGCCGATGTGATGGCCCAAGCAAAGCAGTACGCATCATTATTATGAACTTTGGTATTATTCGATTGGATTGTAATATTATTTCCGGTTCCTTTATAAATGGATAAGAAGCCCACACCCTTTTTTCATTTAACTTGGATGTTGAGCCAGGATACAGGCTTGTGAAGGAGCCTCATGACATTATCTATCTACCCGTCATACCATCCGGTCGACAATACATAGACAACGTTACTATTCGAGTTGCGACTGATAACGGTACCTTGATTGACTTTGGGAAAGAAACCATCAATATCATAGTTAAATTAAAAGAGATAAACTAATATGGGATTCTGCTTTAAACCACGATATTCAACTAGCGGCCATTTAAATATCATATAAATAGAACCGAAGCAGAACATTCATCAATAAAGATTATAAATTTCTTCAATCTATTGTCTTGCATATAGGATATTAAATCATGGCTGTTTATGTAAGAAATGAGATGTTGAACGTATTTGAAAAACCGGTCATCGATAACTCAATCAGAAGATGTGATGAACATATTCACCCACCTGCAGGATCGCCAAATTACAAACATTCCGATACAATCACCTTTACGATCAATAATATGGACCTAATTCTCAAAATTTCGGATAGTTACATCAATATACAGGGAACATTTAAACCTAAAGAAGCTGGTAATAAGTGCTATTTGGCAAACAATCTTGCTTCTGGCCTCTTTGATGAAATTATATATGAAATGGGCGGACACAAGATTGCTGAATGTCGAAAATCTATTATAATGACAGCAATTAAAAATATGGTGCCCTATGGTGAAAAACACGCGAACTCATTAGAAACTTCCGGTTGGGGCCTCATCAACCTTTGGTAGATTTAACGAGTAATACATTTACGGGAAGAATCTTATTAAAACATCTATTCGGTTTCTCTGAATCCTACAAGAAAGCGATAATAGGTGTAAGCATGAGATGACGCTACTAATTGCTCGATCATTCGAAAACTGCTATATAGGTGAAGTCGAGGCGGACATAACTATCACTAAAATGGATTGGATAAACATATTGCTCATGAGAATGATGCGGATGTTCTTATGTATAAAAAAACGAATGACAAAAATTTGCGAGCCGTTAAAATACCACACCATAAATGGGATCTCTAAGACAAACTTCTCACCACATATGGGCGATTAAAACTACTAAATCCATGGAACGACCTAGATATGTAATTTTTATCCCATTTTTTTAAACGAATATACTTAAAATTAAGATTTATCGATTATAATTTTTTTTTACGTGGACATTTTAACATATGCTTGTTAACAAAAAACAGTACAAAAAAGATGGCTAATACTGACGCATGCGCACAAAAAAATATTGTGATGAAAAGGCCTATTGAAAAGTACTTACTATGCAATTACACTTACTACATGATGTACAGAGTAATTGGAAGGTACTTGCTAATTGCGCGAAGGGTGGGTACTTAGCAGGGGCGGTTCGTAAACAAAATTTTGGGGGTTCACAGTAGCAGAATATAGATCCTGGTACAGATATAGGTAAAAAACTGTCAGTATTTTAGAAAGGTATATTATAAACTTTCTAAAACACTGAAAGTTTTTTTCATACATATGTACTGATACCTATATTCTCTCACTGTGAGCCCCCTACGAGTCGCCACTGGTACTTAGGGTAATTACTAATTACATCAATTGCCTCTGACCTTGGTCCAGAACTGCCTAATCATAACTACTATCCCATCTTGATTTTATTTTTAAACATTTTTGAGAATACCTATTATTATTTGTTGCATTGAGTTTAATGAAAGCCACAGATTTCGTTATTTAAAGAG